ACACAGATGACAACTTCCTGGTCAAAGCAGGATTGTCACTTCCAGCCAGTGTGTTACTACCTGGGACGTCTCTACTTGTCATTGTCCCCTTTAAGAAAGGAACTAAGAATTCTGATGCAGTTCAGAAAGTACATCTAATAAACACCATGAACACATTATCTTCTCTTCTGGGTACAATGAAAACAGCAACAAACCAACCAACCAACCAACTCACCCAGTGATGTCAAGCCAATTCCAACTCATGGCGACCCATGGGTTATAGAAATGTGCTCCACTGGGTTTTCTTGCCTGTTCAGTTAGTGCCTTACTACTAACCTAAAGGGGAAGCATGGTACTTTCATAGGATAAGCACTGGACTGTTAATCACTCTGTGGGAGAAAGATGGGCTTTCTTCTCCTGCAAAGATTTCAAGCTTTGGAAATCCGATACAGGGTTGCTATGAGTCAGAACCAACTTGACGGCACTTAGCAACACCACGTAACCTACAGGGTGGCAGCCGAAACCCACCTGGTGATACTGTGGAGAAAGGGCTGGCGATGTGCTGCCATTACGGTTACAGACAAGAAAAAAAGAGGGCAGGGAACTAGCTAAATGAAAAGAAAACAACCAGACTGGGAATGGAGAATGTCCATGCACTGGGAAGCTCGTACGCAGTATCACTGAACAATTTGTGTGGGGAAACCTTCACTGAAAACACTATTATACATACATGTATTATTACAGCCAAGGGCAGCCTGTGGAGCAGTTCTACTTTGTAACACATGCGGTCACCAGAAGTGGCAACATAGACTCAAAAGAAACCAGTAAGAGCAACAATAATCCTTCCGGAAGCAGTTTACCAAGCCTTTGTTCTGTGGCCACTGGCTGGGATGGACTAACAATTTTCAGGTTAGTAGTGGTGTTGAGTGGTGTCAAGTCAGTTCCGAATCATAGTGACCCTGTATGGGGTTTCCAGAAGCGGTTGGTGGGTGTGAACCACCGACCTTGTGGTTAGCAGTTCAGTGTTTATCCTACAGAAACAAGCCAGGACTAGCGCAAACTCATTGTGCCACCCAGGGACCTTCTAGGTCCCATGAAGATGTCAAAGGCCCAAACCCAAGCCTAAGTGACTCACCTGCAGGGACTAGAGAGCTGATGGTTCACAGAGAGACTTACCCGAAGTGGGCACCATCTCGATCGATGAAGTAGCGGCCCTCGGCATCGGTAGGGATGTAATGCCGCCCACTGAACATGGCTGCCAGCATGGTGTCTTCGTAGCGCCGCAGGGTGGACAGGCGTGTGGTAAAATGGGCCCCTCCAATATTGAGAGGGACAACCTCAGGAAACTGGAAAAGGACCACTGGGGTCACACAGGCAGGGGGACTGAGAGGCAGACAGTTTGTCACCCAAGTCCCAAGCCCAGGGCTCCACTGGAATGCTTTCTTCTCTCTCCTTCCTCTTCCCCACACCCACCAACTGCCAAGTCCTACCCATTCTGCCCCTAAGCCAGTTCCCATCAAGTCAATACCGACTCAGGGGGATTCCCAGGGTATAGAGGAAAACTGTCATCTATAGGGTTTTCCGAGGCTGATTTCTCGGAAATAGATTACCAGGCCTTTTTTCCAAGAAGCCTCTGGGTGGACTTGAACCACAGACCTTTTTGTTAGCAGCTGAGCACACTAATCCTTTCAGCCATCCAAAGACTAGTTTACCTCTAAAACCCAAAAGCAAACCCACTAGAGTTGAGTAGAATCAAACTCATGGCACCCCTCTTTGTTACAGAGTAGGACTGCTCCACAGCGCTGGAACCCACCCAGCAGCACTGCAGAAGAAAGACCTGGCAATCTGCTTCCATACCAAGAAGACCCTATGGAAAGCAGTTCTACTAAGTAACAGATGATGTTGCCATGAGCTGGAATGAACTCAAGGGCACTGGGTTAGATTATTGTTTGGTACCCTTGCCTGCCCTCAAGATGTTGTTGCTGTTGGTTGCCATGGAGCCGATTCCAACTCGTGGTGCCCCTGTGAGGAGCAGAGCAAGACTGCTCCACAGGGTTGCAGGCAGGGCTGTGACCTTCCCATGACAGATCACTTGGCCTGTCTTCTGAGACACCTCTGGGAGGGTATGATCGGCCAAGCAGGGCTCAGCAGATGTTTATTCCTCAGTCTCTGTTCCCCACCAGCCTCTCCTACTGACTCTGTATGTAGATGAGTCTCCAGGCTGGCCAGGGTTTGGGCACCAAGGGCTGGAGGAATAACAGGTAAGAGATGGCAGAGATTTCCCCTGGGGAACTTGAGGTCCCTACTATATGCTCTGCCCTTTGGTGGTTTTTGTTGATGGTCTCTCCCGCCTAAGTGTCTACCCACTGCATCTGAAAGACATGAGGCCAGTAATAATTCTCCCTTCTTGGTTAATGGAAAATATATCCCAGTGCATACTTTTCATCATTATGACCTCTCTCTGGCTGCTTTCCAACACTTTGTGAAATAATATCTATATACCATTGTCACTGAGTCGATTCTAACTCACAGTGATCTGATGTAGGATTTCTGAAGCTATAAATCTTTATGGAAACAGAAAGCTGCCTCTTTCTCCCAGGGAGTGGTTAGTGAATTAAAACTGCCAAATAAAAAACATGTAACCCACTACACCAGGAGCTACAAACGCATTAACTACAATGTATCCAGAGCGCTGTATAGCCAAGACCAAAATAGTCATTAAATGTGGATGAATGAACAAATGAATGAACTCGACAGACAATTACAGTTCTATGGACGTGTGTGGTGTTGCCCAAAGGAGGTAGAAATTCCTTCCGCTTATTTTATGTTGTTGGCAGCTGTTAGTCAGTACCCAACTCATGGTGACCCTATGTACAATGGAAAAAAATGTTGCCCAGTTCTGAGTCATCCTCATGATGGGTTATGAATCAGACCATTGTGGTCCGCAGGGTTTTCACTGGGTGGCTATCACAACTACATCACCAAGCCTTTCTTCCTAATCGCCTTAGTCTAGAAGCTCCGCTGAAACATGTTCAGCATCACAGCAACACACGAGTCAGCAATGACAGATGGGAAGTGATTGTGCAGAGGTGCACTGGTCAGGACTCGAACCCAAATTGGCCGAGAATCACACACAGACGGGAGTAGATTCTACCAGTGAACATCGCCCAGCGTCTTCTATAACTCCCGTAAAACTATTACTGTACATATTACTGTTGTTGTTGATGTACACCATTGGTCAGTTCAGCCTCATAGCAACCCTGTATAGAGTTTCTGAGAGCAGCTGCTGAGTCTGAACTGCTGACCTTGTGGCACCGGTCCAGTGCTTATCCCATAGCACCACACCAGAGCTCATTACCTGTGTGTGATGTTGTTAAGTGCTGTCTGATTCATAGCAACCCTGTATAGGGCTCCTGAGGAGCAGTTGATGAGTTTGAACTGCTGACCTTATGATTCAAACTGACCTTGCAGTCCTGTGCTTATCCTACAGCACTACATATCAGCAAACAGACAGTGTTTGGAAACAATACATTCCCAACTGCATTATAAATATAATACATTTTATATTACAAATTAGTGACACAGGTTTTTTTACATTTGTGGAGCCCTTAAAATCTTTTCCAAGAATAGCTCCTAACCATCCAAGTACTTTCCCATATTAGAGATGAGAAGATTGAGGCAGAGAGAGAGAAAAACAAATGAAAATAAAGCTTGGAGCTCCCGAGGAGAGTGCACACTGGGGAGCTGGCACCAGGCTCCTGACCTCCAGGCTCCAGCCCTGTGCTCCTTTCCTCAAAACCAATGATTCCTCAGACAACACACAGAAGGACCCTTAGACCTTGTTAAGAACAGCACCACGGTGCCTACAGGAGTCCACTTCTTCCAACCGCTAGGAGTACTTCTAACAGAAAGGTTGGCTGTTTGAATTCACACACAGGTGCCGCGTAAGAAAGGCCTGGCAATGTGGCTCTGAAACCATATGGTGCCCAGTTCTACTCTGACCCACAAGAGGGCGTCATGAGTGCTGCTAGAGTTTTGCTGATTTTCAGAAGCTCTCTTAAGATGGAGAAGCTCAGAGGCCCAGTGAGGCCAGGCCTGCCTGTTTTAGCACATCTTCTGGGTGTGTGTGTGTGTGTGTGTGTGTGTGTGTGTATGATATGAACCCACCAAGGATTTGGGTTCTGTCACACCACATTCCACACCCAGGTCCTCACCTGATCCTCACATTGTGGAGCTAGAAGAGCAAAGTGAGGCCAGCAGGGACACACAGTGTCAGGGGGCTCAGTAAGGAGCTAGTAGTGCCCAGCCCGCTCTCAGCTGTAGAAACGGGTCTTTGGGGTCCTCAGTAACAATACCTGCTTCCAGGAGTTTCACCAGGCCCACAGGACCCTCGCGGACTCTGTCCCCTCATCCCATATTCCCACACCACGTAGCCTCCAGCTCTTTCTTGGTTTTCCCCATCAGAGGCCAGCAGGGCCCACCTGCTTCCTGTTTTCCCTGGTATTGAGGGTCATCTCAATAGGCGTGAGAAGAATCTAGTCCACCAGGGGCATCATGTTAGTGAGCTGGAGAGATGGGGGAGTGTCCACCCTTCTCAGCCGGCTGGGAGCCCTCCCAGAGAGCTGGTTTTGGGTGGCCCTGGAAGACATCAGCATCTCCGGACTCCGGGTTCTGTTAGCGGACAGGCAGCCCTCCTCTGAGGATGGGGGTGGGGTGGGGTGGGGCCAGTAGTCCCTGCAGGAGGGGCGCACGGGGACAGGGGGCACTGACTATCACTGGTTGGGGGCCCGACCCACGCCCTCGCGGACCCCCACCCCAAGGTCCGGCTCGGGTACCTCTTGGGGCAGCAGCGGCAGCGCGTGGCCGGCCTGCGTGGCCGTCGGGGTGGCCGGCTCTAGAAAGTCGTCCTCGGCGTCGGAGCTGGACATGGCACCGGCCCGGCGACGGCTGTCTGGCTCCCGCCCCGTGACTACCACCATCCCTCCGGCTCTGAGCAGGGGGCGCGGCTCTAGCACTAGCGCCTAGCAGCGCTCCGCATGACGCAGCGGCGGCGGCGGGCCGTAGGGCGGCGCTCCCCTTGCGGACCGGATCGAGACCACCGCGGCCACGGGCCTCACCCGACCGCCTCCCCCATTGGTCGAGCCCCGCGAGCCCCGCCCCTGATAGGCAGTAGGTTGCCCAATCCCCGAGAAGAAGCGTTGGGCCTGCGTCAAACTCTTCTCTGATTGGTCCTCTCCTCCCTCGGACGCTGGTCCCTCTAAGAGGGAGGTGGTGCGCTCGAGACGAGGTGTGCGCGGCGAGATCCCGGGTTCGGGTGCGCGCGGGGTGATGCCTAGGGCGGGTGCTCATTTAGTGCAGTGCATGCTGCTACCACCTCTAAGCCGGGCGTCCTCATTGTCCCTGTGGGTGGCGCCTGCATAGTGTCTCCAGGCCAAATGGCCTAGGATGTGGTGCAGCCAGGTCTTCAGACCTGCCCACTGCCAGGCTTGAAGACACCAGAGAAAACGAGGAGCAGTTGATCATCATTATGGTGATTCAATGGCGTAACTAGATGGGTGCGGACTGTCAGTCGAGTGACAACCAAAATGACTGCCTATAAAATTTTTGTGCAGTGTTTCAACAGAAATTGATTTTTTATATGTAAAAATATCCTTGTTGTTAGTTAAGTTACAACAAACACATGTTTCCCAAGCCCAGCTTACTTGTACCAATATAACTACAAGGCTAAGACTCTGCCATTTTACTTTTTGATACTAGCTGTAGGATCAGCTCTCGACTGTGAACCACAAGGTTGGGAGTTCAAACCCACCAGCTGCTCCTCGGAAACCCCATACAGGGTTGCTAACCAACTCAATGGCACTTAACAACAGCAATGTGTACACCAATCTTCTGTCAGTTTGTCATGCTGTGGTGACCTGCATGTTGATGTGATGCTTTTGTTGTTGTTGTTGTTGTATGCCGTGGAGTCGGATCCGACCCATAGCGACCCTGTACAGGGTTTCCAAGGCTGTTTATCTTTACGGGAGCAGAACGCCTCATCTTTCTCCCGCGGAGCAGCTGGTAGTTTCGAACTGCTGACCTTGAGGTTCGCAGCCCGATTCGTAACCACTACGCTACCAGAGTGATGCTGGAAGCTGTTTTAAATAGCAGGGCAATCCATGGTGGAGAGCTTACAGCAGAGCTTCCAGGCTAAGACACACTAGGAAGAAGCAGAGGTGGACTGCTGAAAACTTTACGGATAACTGCAGAACCTTGTCAGATGTCGTGCCGGAAGATGAGTCCCCCAAGCAGAAGGCACGTAAAATAGGATTCAAAGTAGAGATCACCATAATTAAATGAATGGAGCAAAGCCTTTGGGACCTTCATTTGTGATGGGGCACAACTCAAACTGATTTGCTAATCGGGAGTATGGATTGCACCTCAATGAAAAGAAAGCAAAAATGCTCAGAAATGGACCAAAAAGTAACATCAAGAGCGGGCAGTGTTTTGTTCTGTGTGCACAGGGTTGCTGTGAGTCAGAACCGCATCAATATCAACGACTTAACAACAACAATAATGTGCTCGGGTCAGAACTGTATTATTCCCCAATTAGAAGAATGCGCTTGAATCACGTGTTTTCATCTGCGCAATGTTTTCTTTGCTGTCAGTGTTTTGATACTGGGTGATTTTGTCAAATTTTCTGGTGTTTTAGCTATAATAATGTGGTAATTAGTATTTGTGAACCTATTCAATAGCTTTCTTGAGAATGAAGTAGTAATTAAAAGAAAAAAATTAAAAGGATCAGTTACTAATAATGTTGTAACTAATAATATTTGTAATCAACATAGAAAGATTGTACACAACAATTGTAGGGTTAGTATTCACATAATCTAAGCAATATTCCATTTAAGCAAATTAACAACTATGGTGGTGATGGCTGTATGCCAAAGAGTTGGTTCCGACTCATAGCAACCCTGTATAGGGTTTTTGAGGCTGTACATCTTTATGGGAGCAGAAAGCCTCATCTTTCTCCTGCAGAGCGACTGGTAGATTTGAACTACTGACTTCATGGTTAGCATTCCAGCTTGTAATCCACTATGCTACCAGGAATCCTTACAACTATATTTATCACATATTAAATTTATGATTGCTGGTATTAAGTGCTGTCAAGTTGATTTCGAACTGCTGACCTCATGGTTAGCAATCCACACCAGGACTTCTATAATTAGAATTGATAATAAACATGACTAATGGTTCTGTGGAGTCCTGGTGTGGCACTGTAGATAAGCACTAAACCTCAAGGTTGGTTTGAACCATCAGGTTGGAAGTTCAGACTCACTAACTGATCCTTGGAAACCCTATACAGGGTCGCTATGAGTTGGAACCGTCTCCATGACACTTAACACCACCAACAATGATTCTGTATGGTCTGGTACTGGAGGAAGTCCTGGAGGGGATGGCTCAGGGCTGGATGACTGAATAAGCAAGGTATACATGGGTCCAATTGTGTCTTCCCAACAATCTGCATGCATACTGTCACCTGTCTCTCATCACGTCAAAGATGACACTCATGTGAAATCAAGCACCATAGATTAGCAAATGAGCACACGCCTGAGCAAACCTCGCTCACGATGAATACCAGGTTGTAGTTGTTAAGTGCCCTTGAGTTGCTTCCAACTCATAGCAATCCTGTATGGGATTTCCAATGATCGACTGGTGGATTTGAACCACCAATCTTTTGATTAGCAGTCCAGTGTTTATCCTATAGCATCACACTATGCTTACTGGTTAATGCACAATGTATGTGTGTGGGGGGGGGGTAGGGAAACACCAGCCCTAGTGACGTCACACTCCCAGTGACAGATTCTCCCCTGGGTGCTGAACCCACAGATGGAGACAGGCCTGCTGAGGTAGGTCCAGTCTGACTCAGTATGCAGGTAAAATTTTGCTAAAGATAACGCAAAAATGGTTGCAAGCATACATTAACAGAGGACTGTTAGAGGTTCAAGCCAAATTCAGAAGAGGACGTAGAACAAGGGATATAATTGCTGACATCAGATGGATCTTGTCTGAAAGCAGAGAATATCAGACAGATGTTTACCTGTGCTTTATTGACTATGCAAAGGCTTTCAGTTCTGTGGATCATGACAAGCTATGGACAACATTGCCGAGTATTCTGGAACACTTAATTGTGCTCATGAGGAACCTGGACACAGAAGGCAGTTGTTCAAACAGAACAAGGGAACACCGAATAATTTAAAATTAGGAAAGGTGTGTGCCAGGGTTGTAGCCTTTGGCCTTACTAATTCAGTCTGTATGCTGAGCAAACAATTAGAGAAACTGGATTATATGAAGATAAATGTGGCATCAGAATTGGAGGAAGATTAATTAACATCTTGTGATAAGCAGATAATATAACCTTGCTTGCTGAATGTGAAGAGGACTTAAAATATTTACTGATAAAGCTCAAAGACCATAGCCTTCAGTATGGGTTGCACCTTAATGTAAAGAAAACAAAAATTGTCACCACTGGACCAGTAAATAACATCCATGTAAATGGATAAAAGATTGAAGTTGTTAAAGACTTCATTTTGCTGGGATCATTTTCTCTCAACACTCATGGAAGCAACACATCAGACATATTGCATTAGGCAAATGTGCTGCACAAGATTTCTTTAAAGTGTTGAAGAGCAAAGATGTCAGTTTGAGGACTAATATACCCCTGATCCAAGCCAAGCTATTTTCAATAGTCTCATATGCATGTGAAAGTTGGACCGTGAATAAGGAAGACCATAGAAGAACTGATGCCTTTGAGTTATGGTGTTGGAGGAGAATATTGAAAGTACCATGGGCTGCCAGAAGAACAAACTAGTCTGCATTGGAAGAAGTGCAGCCAGAATGCTCCTTGGAAGCCAGGATGACCAGACTTCGTCTCTCATACTTTGAACATATCAGGAGGGATCAGTCCCTGGAAATGGATATCATGTTTTGTAAAATGGAAGGTTGGAGAAAAAGAGGAAGACCCCCCAACGAGATGGACTGGCACAGTGGCAGCAGCAATGGGCTCAAGCGTAGCATAGATGGTGAGGCTGGCCCAGGACCAGGCAGTGTTTCGTTCTGTTGTGCACAGGGTCACTATGAGTTGGTATTGACTTTATGGTACCTAACAACACTAACAAAGCACAACCTTGGAACAACAATGCTGTGATACAGGGATCGAGACATAGTCTGAGTGGGTAAAGGAGAGAAAAAACGTTTAGGGGCTTGACTGTCTTGTGGATATTTGTTCCTCTTGCCTACTATTTTAAAACAGACATTTATGTGTGATAGAAATGAAAATTGGGAATTATGGTTACAGAAAGCTTGTAAACTGGTCTTCAGCCTATAACTGATTGGATTAGCTAAAGGGGGAATTAGAATATGCTTAGGGAAATAGGTTCCTTGTTAAGCCTTTGTGGAACATGGGCCTTAAGTGGAATTCTGAGCCCCACCCAGAACCTTTAGAGGTGGGGCATTCTCACTACAAAAGACATGCAGACCAACCCAGTGTGGCTAGAACAGAAGGTACTTATTAAAAGAAAGACCAGCAGAAAAAAAGGAGACTGCTTATCTGTTAGAGTATCAAGGAAGCTGTTTGCCTTGAAGCCATCACTGTAAAAAAAAAAAAAGGCAGCCCATCAGGGAAAGCCCCTGAGCAACCTAGTTCACTCCCTGATGACCGCACGGGTCTATTTGTGACTGTGGGGGAAGGGGGGGGGAAGGCAGCAATGAAGGCATGGGCTGAGTGTAGACATGTTCCATCTACACCAATTGACCTGGAGATGAGAGAGAGAAAGAGGAAGGGCTACCTGGTCTGAGGTTTAGGGAGATGTGTGAACTCCCCAGCACATGTATGCTGACCTAACCACCGTGGGCTAGAGCTGAGAGTGAAGCTGGTCTGAAGTGTAAGGAGACGTGTGTGAACTCCCAAACTTGCCGATAATACCCATTTGACCTAGCTTGGATGGCTAGTTTACCAGAACTTGGCCAGTTGAAGAGAAAGATGTTTATCTGAATATAGGGAGCAAGTATAAATTACTATAAATTGATGAGCTGGATCTTTGCTTATGGATGCAGTTGCTCAAAATTCCAACCGAAATGGAAAGATTCTTCATAACAAGGAATAAGGTTGTTTCCTCAGTGATAGGGACAGGCAACTTAGACATTAACTATCAAAAAGTCAGGGGGAGGGGAGTTATAAAGGCACAAAGTGACTGCTTTACAAACATTCATGAATGTGCTTAGTTTCAGAACGAGGAGGGTAAGGTAGAATCCACACTGAATAGCTAGCTTTCCTCTTTTCCAGATGGATAT